CTTGAAAACTGCAAGGACTGTTTCAACTTTCTATAAAAAATTCACAGGCTTCATCAAAGACTGTGGATCTTGTCATAAACATTTTAAACAGCATACCCTTATTCACATGTTCACACATGACAAAAAGAAAATTGAATGTGAAAAGAGGCAAGAATGAAAAAAAAGAAAGAAATGGAGCAGTAATATAAAGCAAAAACAAATAACACACATGCTCTATCAAATTCCTAGCTTGAAAAGTTTCAGAAAAGCAGGATTCACTGTGGAGAGATAAATCTATATAAATAAAAATGTAATGTTCGTTTGTGGGATTAACATAACTCAAAAACCACTGGACGAATTGACACCAAATTTAGACACAATACACCTATCAGACTAACAAGTGACCATCACTCATAAAAATACTGAAAAACACATTTTAAGGGGCTTAACAAGCCAAAAAAAGCAAAAAGATGCTACAGCGTGTGCACAAAAGTGACTCCTCCTGGCGAACAAAACACACAATATCCACACTCTCTTTCAGACTACAGCTCCCAGAATCCCCTAGACCAGGCCCTTTAGAAGAGGAGGATGATCCAAATGCATTGCTTCTAAGCTGCAAGCTTTCTTCTTCTTGGATTTCTTTGAGAGTATCCCAATATTTCCAATTTCCTATTTCTGGACTGCAACTTCCAGCAAGATAGATAGATTAGATTGGTTTGTATCAGCAGGACTGCTAGGAGTTGCATTCCAAGAATAGGTAGAGAAGGAGGAAAGGAGAGAAAAAGGAAGAGGAAGAGGAAGAGGAAGAGGAAGAGGAAGAGGAAGAGGAAGAGGAAGAGGAAGAGGAAGAGAAGGAAGGAAGGAAGGAAGGAAGGAAGGAAGGAAGGAAGAAGAAAAGGCAGGGAGGGAAGGTTGACCACAGCAACGCATGGCAGGTACAGCTAGTACTACATAAATGGGAATGTAAATGCCAAACCAGGGAAAAACTTGGAATCTGCTCTGTTCTGAGAAAGCAACTGCTTTACATCTTTTGCGTTGGCATGAGATTTTATGCAAACAATGAACTGGGACAAATAATTCACAGGATATCTTTATATAACTTTTAAGACTTGAGAATATTTGTGCGTACACCATAAATTAATTAGCATCCCATGCACCTAAACCACACACAGGGAGACTCTGAACATGTGTGGCCTAGATGCAACTGCTGTTCTAGAGATCCCACATATATTACAATTCTGGGATGATCAACTGTGTCCTTCCATATGTTGTTGGATTGTGATTCTCAGATATCCCAACTACCATAGCGAGGAGTACTTATATGTGGGGAGTGAGGTTGCAACATCTATTTAAAATGATAGAAGGAAGTGAATTCTCAAATCACAACAAGTTATTTACCAATATTTGAAAGCACAGAAGAAAAAGCAGAAAACGTGATTGAAATGGAACAAGGAGTTGAAAATATTACTAGCACATTGAGATTACACTATGTAACACAATTTTTGTTCCTGGGTTATAAATGTCATTTCCTAATTAGTTCTATCGTAAAAACATGGAAAGTGATTATCAAATTGCAAAAACGTAGTTATTGTGGGACATCCTGCAGCACATTTTGCTACGGTTTTTCAATGAATATCTCTAGAGCCTCAACCAATTCAAGATAGTTTGTGGCAACCTCAAAAAAAAAAAGAAAAAGAAAAAAAGAAGAAGTTTCTGGAGTATAACAACTACTTTCAAAGTAACCATCGCACAATTAAACAGGAAATAACACTTTCAGACCAGGAACATGATTTTTTTCAATTTTTATTATCCAGTGTTATCAGGGGTCCTCAAACTTTTTAAACAGAGGGCCAGGTCACAGTCCCTCAAACTGTTGGAGGACCAGATTATAATTTGGAAAAAAAAACATGAATGAATTCCTATGCACACTGCACATATCTTATTTGTACACTTAAAAACAATACAATAATGAAAATGAAGAATAATTTTAACAAATATGAACTTATTAGTATTTCAGTGGGAAGTGTGGGCCTGCTTTTGGCTGATGAGATAGAATAGTTGTTGTCTGCTTTCAAGTCATTTCAGACTTACGTTGACCCTGAGCGAAGGCCAGGTAAATGACCTTGGAGGGCCGTATCCGCCCCCCGGGCCATAGTTTGAGGACCCCTGGTGTTATATTCTTTCCCACTGATATCACTGCTTTAACAGAACCCATTTTGTAACAAAAATATTCCTGAAATCCCATACATAACAACACAGAGCAGCTAGAAGTCCGGAGTACGAATTCCAAGGAATGTGCATGTTGTCTAAGATACCAGTTCCTATGGACTAAAGACTGATCACATTTGGGCAATGTCCTTGCAGACGGCCAATTCTCTCACACCAGAAGTGACTTGCAGTTTCTCAAGTCACTCTTGACATGAAAAAACCTGTAAACTTAATCCTCAAACTCTATTAAGGGAAATTCAGGGTGGGTAACAAAAAGCTGTGCTGTGCTGCAATAACATCTATTGTTAACCCAGTCAAAATATTTATAAGGGAAGTGCTATAAAGGCAAAAGTTGTGTTCTTTTCAAATTATACACATAATTGGTGGAAGTGAGAGGGAAATCAAGAGTGTAACTTAATAGCCTATTAGTAATTACAATGCATGAGAAACAAGCATATTGTTTCTTGAAATATACTTGCCCAACAATTAACAGTCCCTCTGGTGCCTATGTTGTTGTTGTTACACAGCTTTTAATTGACTCTGACTTCAGACATTCTTGTAATAAGGTTTTCTGTATTTATTCAGAGAATGTTTGCAATTGCCTTAGACTTAGGATGAGAAAGAGTGACTTGCCCAAAATACTGAGCTTCCATAGTTGATTGAAAATGCCAACCCTTGTCTCCCAGAGTTACCAACACCCAAACCACTGCACTATGATTGGCCCTATATCCTTACTCAAGCATATGGATACCTGGAAACATAATATTTATTATTTATTTACTTTACGTGTATACCACTCCTCTCAGCCTTCTGGCGACTCGAGGCGGTTTACAAGGCAAAATGTTTTAAATGTTAACAGCAATAAAATCATAACAACAGCAATAAAAACGTAAGTCAATAAATCCTCAATAAAAGCATTGTCCAATTCCATCATATAGTTGTTCCATTTTCCTATGTCCTATGTCCATTACTCAATATTTGCAAATGCTTGCTCGAACAGCCATGTCTTGAGTTTTTTTTCGAAATGTTAGGAGCGAAGAAGCCGATTTAATCTCCTTAGGGAGGGCATTCCATAGCTGAGGGGCCAATGCTGAGAAGGCCCTGTCTCTCGTTCCCGCCAGACGTACTTGTGATGAAGGCGGGACTGAGAGCAGGGCCTCTCCAGACGATCTTAACATCCTCGATGGTTCATAAGGGGAGATGCATTCTGACAGGTAAGTTGGGCTAGAACCGTTTAGGGCTTTATAGGCCAAAGCCAGGACTTTGAATTGGGCCCAGTAGCAGTGGAGATGGCGCAAAAGAGGAGTTGTATACTCCCTGAGAGCTGCTCCTATTAGCAACCTGGCTGCCGTTCGTTGGACTAATGGAAGCTTCCGGACCGTCTTCAAAGGTAACCCCATATAGAGCACGTTGCTGTAGTCTATACGGGATGTAGCCAAAGCGTTGACTACCGTGGGCAAGTCATAACACCTGGAAACTGGCTTGCAGGTAAGACTTTTGCTGCCCAACCAACACGTTACTTACGTAGTCAAAATATATGTCAGCACTGATAAAGAAGGCTCCAGGGATATATCCAGTATCTGTGCCACATTATTTTACTCCACACTTTTAAATGATGTATAATGACTGGAAACAAGTTTTAGATGAAGGCAAGCTACATATCTATATAAATAAAAATGTAATGTTCGTTTGTGGGATTAACATAAATCAAAATCCGCTGGACGAATGGCTGCCAAATTTGGCAACAAGACACCTACTAATGCAAGGAATGACCATCACTCAAAAATTGATTTTGTCATTTGGGAGTTGTAGTTGCTGGGATTTATAGTTCACCTACAATCCAAGACCATTCTGAACTCCACCAATGATGGAATTGAACTAAACTATAGCACAGAGGACTCCCATGACCAATAGAAAACACTAAAAGGGTTTGGTGGGCATTGACCTTGGGTTTGGGAGTTGTAGTTCATCTACAGAGAGCACTGTGGACTCAAACAATGATGGATCTGGTCCAAACTTCTTTGCACGAATATTCAATTTGCCCAAATATGAACACAGATGGAGTTTGGGGGAAATAGACCTTGACATTTGGGTGTTGTAGTTACTGGGATTTATAGTTCACCTACAATAAAAGAGCATTCTGAACCCCTCCAATGATAGAATTGGGGCAAACTTCCCACACAGAACCCCCATGACCACAGAAAATACTTAAGGCCATTCAGTCCAACTCCCTTCTCCAGGGCAAGAAAACGTAATCAAACGTAATCCTGACAAAGAGACATCCAGCCATAGATGTAGATAGATATATATTATTCACACACACACAGATATAGTATCATAGATTTGAAAGGGACCCCTAAAGAAGGACAATTATATATTGTATGTTCCAGAGTAGGCAAACCAGACAATCTCTACATCAACACTGACAAAGAAACAAGAAATACTGTTCACCCACAAGCATAAAGAAATAACGTAGATTAGAAGCCAACACTTTCTCGTTACTTTATTTTCCAGATCACCAGACTGGGCCACAGCAATGCGTGGCAGAGGACGGCTAGTTTATATAATAACTATATACATTGGATGGAGTTTGAAATGCATTCCAAAACCATTAGGATCTCCAGTTTAGGCTCTGATCAAACTTCACCATTAGAAACAAATATTGTTTCTAAGACATGGGGAATCAAAGACGGTAAATTTCCGATATGTGAGTGTCAACTATAAGAGGTGTCTAGAATGATATTTGCCATCCATGGGCTTCGGGGTTTAATCACCATCTTGTTTCAGATTTAGTAATCTGTGATCAAACTCACCTTTTGAAGTGATTTCCCAGGACTCCAATCAGCTCCCCAATTCTGCTCTCATTTGGTGGATGAACGCTGAGGAGGCAGACAATTAGGTCCTTGTTGTCTTTTATGTGAAACACCACGAGCTGGTCCTTTCCATTGGAAACACTCAATCCTGTGAGCTGCAAAAAAGTGAGAGAAGATTATAGCTAACATTAGTTCCATATCTGAGTGAACATTTTGCAAAATGACGTATAATATTGACTAGAAATAAAAGACATATCTGTCTGAAATATCAGTAGCTGAGGAAGTAGACTTAGACACTCAGTCTCTAAAGTGGAACAAGATGCCTTTGTATACGATGTTTCCAAACCTCTGAGCTGCTGAACTTGCTGACCAAAAGGTTGGCAATACGAAGCTGGGAAGCGGGGTGAGCTCCTGCTGTTAGCTCCAGCTTCTGCCGACCTAGCAGTTCAAAAACATGCAAATGTGAGTACATCAATAGGTACCGCTTCTGCGGGAAGGTAACAGCACTCCATGCAGTCATGCTAGCCACATGACCTTGGAGGCGTCTATGGACGATGCCAGCTCTTTGGTTTAGAAATGGAGATGAGCATCACCCCCCAGAGTTGGACACGACAAGACTTAATATCAAAGCAAAAGCTTTACCTTTACTACTCCCGAAGACAATCTATCACATACATAATGGCTTACTTGGTAATTAAAAAGAGGCTGCAGATCAACTTTGTTTTTGCTTATACTGGGCTTGATCCAAATATAATCACAATTAGAGAAGTGCTAGTTAAAGCAGTGAGACTCAACTTAGTAATAACAAATTCCCATTGATTTGAATTCAAACTATTATAACTCTTGTTGGAACAACATGAAGGCAAATGACTAGGCATGTAAAAATAAACCCACGCCCATTTCTACTTTGGATAGAAATCTGATAGACATAAACTTCTATCTGACAATGATAGATTCAATTAAGTTTAACATTATCTCCCTCAGTGCTGAGTTACTACAGTCTGCCCTATACAACAAGTTTTAGCAGAAAGAGCTGGGGTCCTTTCTATCTACACAAATAGCAGGATGATTCCACTTTAGCTGCCATGCCAATACTGTATGGAATCCTGGGATCTGTAGTTTGGTGAGCCAGTAGATCTCTCCGATGGAGAATTTTAAATGTTCCTCTTTAAACTTCAAATTCCATAATTTCACATGATGTAAACATTAAAGTGGAATCATAATCCTACAATCGTATCTATGAAAAGACCCCGATCCTTTGAGAACAAATTATTGGCTGCAATTTTTATCGGTTGAATAATTATATATAAAAAATTACTTTTCAGGCATGGATGCAGCAATTGCTCTCTATCTCAATCTATTTACCATAGATCTTTTAAAAAATAATAATATACTAAAACTGCAGTTTGTAAGACTGGTTGTACTGTTCCTCGATAAAGCAAATGTGTTGTCGAAAGCTTTCATGGCTGAAATCACTGGATTGCTGTGAGGTTTTTCGGCTGTATGGCCATGTTCCAGAGGCATTCTCTTCTGACATTTCCCCACATCTAGGGCAGGCATCCTCAGTGGTTGTGAGGTCTATTGGAAACTAGGCAAGTGCGATTTATATATCTGTGGAATTCACAGGATGGGAGAAAGAACTCTTGTCTGTTTGAGAAAAGTGTGAATGTTGCAATTGGCCAGCTTGATTAGCACTAAATGGCCTTGCAGCTTCAAAGCCTACCTTGCAAACTCTGAGGATGCCTGCCATAGATGTGGGTGAACCGACAGGAGAGAATGCTTCTGTAACATGGCCATACAGCCCAGAAAACTCACAGCAACCCACCTCTATAAAATGAATTTGAAGGATATATGTATAATTGCAAGAGGACTCCATAATGACAATTCAACAGTAGTCATACCTAGAGATAACTCACGGAAATACACAGGACCTGTTTGTTATAAATAACCTAAAATCCATTTATTTAAATGAGTCTACCTAAGGCAGGCTTATGCTGGATTTAGACCATACATTTTAAATGGGACATTTTAAAATTAATTTTTAAAAAATGACTTAATTAAAATCACATTTAAAAACTATTCAACTATATTAACTATATTAAGAACTAAGTATAGTTAAGTCTTTAGTATTCCAGTCAGAATAAAGAAACTGCAACATTTTAAAACACCAACACGTATCTGCAGATGGGAATTCCTAGCTTCAAAGAATAATTATAATGGGATTACCCTGACTGCTAGTTTCTTAGAAAAATGTAAGAAAACAATATCCCCTTTTGTTTTATCACAAAAGAAAGAGGCTATCTGTTCACTTTCAACACCTTAAGAGACAGGAAAGGAAAAGCAAGGCTTCTATTGAATTGCTGTGAGTTTTCCAGGCTGTATGGCTATGTTCCAGAAGCATTCTCTCCTGATGTTCCGTCCATATCTATGGCAGGCATCATCAGCGGTTATGAGGTCTGTTGGAAACTAGGCAATTGAGGTTTATATATCTGTGGAATTATGCTTCTACTAATTGTCATTACATCACAAGATCCATGCAATAAAGAAGTCTCCAAATAGGAATGCAAACTTCTAGGAATGATACTCTGTGATGGGAACCCGAAACCCCTCTTTTTTGAGAACTGAAATCCTTCAGAATAGAGGTAGGCAATGTGATGCCTTCCAGATGTTGTGGAATACAGGTCCTATAATCCACAGCCATTGGTCATACTATCTAGGGATAATGGAGTTAGGATATATTTAAAAAATCTAGAGGGCAACAGATTGTTTAGTCCTATTATTATTATTATTATTATTATTATTATTATTATTATTATTATTATTATTATAAACACAACAAGATGAGTCCGCAGCAAACAAGATCACTCTGCTGGTTGTTGTATTGGATCACACGTCGGACACTTCCCAAGTGTATATCGGCGAATAATGCATGCAGATCCCAATAAGGTGGCCTTTTGCAGCTGGCAGATGGTAATCTTGTCAGCGCCGATTGTGTTTAAGTGCAAGCCAAGGTCTTTAGGCACTGCACCCAGTATGCCAATCACCACTGAGACCACTTTTACTGGCTTGTGCCAGAGTCTTTGCAGTTCGATCTTTAAATCCTCATATCATGTCAGCTTTTCCAGTTGTTTCTCTTCAATCCTGCTGTCTCCTGGGATTGCAACATCAACAATCCATACTTTGTTTTTAAGCACAATCGTGAGGTCAGGAGTATTGTGCTCCAAAATGTTGTCAGTCTGAATTTGGAAGTCCTAGAGTAGCTTGACATGTTCATTCTCCATAACTTTTTCCGGCTTGTGATCCCACCAGTTCTTTGTCGCAGGCAGATGGTATTTGTGGCTCAAGTTCCAATGGATCATTTGAGCAACGGTGTTATGCCTCTGCTTATAATCTGTCTGTGCAATCTTCTTGCAGCAGCTGAGGATATGATTTATTGTTTCATCTGCTTCCTTGCAGATTATTATTATTATTATTATTTACAATATTTACAGCCTGCCTTTCTCAACAATATGGCCACTCAAGGTAGGTTACAGATTGGCATAATTCAATGCCATACATTCATAAAAGTGCATTTAAAACCATCAACATAACAATATAAAAACATATTTAAAAACCATTAAAATATCTAGTCATTGGTGTCCTCCTATTAATGTTTTCCAATAACATCATCTAGCCATTCCATGTTCATCATTCATAGTTCCATGTTATCTATTCCGCTGCATTCTCAAAAGCTTGCTCAAAGAGCCAAGTTTTTACCTTTTTTTGGAAAGTCAGGAGGAAGGGGGACGATCTAATATCCCTGGGGAAGGAGTTCCATAATAATAAATAATAATAAACTTTATTTATACCCTGCCACCATCTCCCCCAACGGGGACACGGAGCGGCTTACATGGGGCCAAGCCTGAACAACAGATATACATAGAACATAAGAACCAAACATAAGGACAAAGAGCGGGCCGCATGTATATAAAATGATTTAAAAATTCCGGGTGAGATAAAGGGGTAAAACTAATTGTAAGGAGGACTCATGGAGACCATGGGGGGAGGGGCACCACTGAGAAGGCCCTGTCCCTCTTCTCCACAAATCGCGCTTGTGAGGCAGGTGAGATCGAGAGCAGGGCTTTCCCAGACTATCTTAAGCTCCTAGATGGTTCATAGGATGAGATACGTTCGAACAGGTAAGCTGGGACGGAACCATTTAGGGCTTTATAGGCTGAAGCCAGCACTTTGAATTGTGCTTGGTAGCAAATTGGCAGCCAGTGGAGCTGGCTCTAACCGAACTGGAATTACAAACCCCAAGCCCTCAGGAAATAATAAACTATCGACCCACATTTAGCCCCAATGATTTGCTGCAAAGCACAACAGTGGGGCCCTTCAGTAGTACAGATTGATTTAAATAATGGATTTAAGCTTGTTTTTGGCAGCTCGGCAATAGCATGTGTAATTGTGGCCTGCCTTGGGAGACTGATGCACAGTGATGCGATTGAACAATTGCTTTGTCCTATACTAAAACTCACTGCATGTGTATTGAACCCACATTTTCAATATGCCAGATTTGGTTGAGGAGAATCGGTCCTTCCGACTCAATTTAGCAAAAGAAGCATATGGAGTGGAATAAACCCATTGCATATAGGGAGAGAGAAAAGTCCTGGAAACAGAAGGAGAGGGGAAATAATCTAAAACTATATTGTCAAAGGCTTTCATGGCTGGAATCACTAGGTTCTTCTAGGTTTTTCAGGCTATATGGCCATGTTCTAGATTCTCTCCTTACATTTCACCTGCGGTCTGTGGATGCTTGCCATAGATGCAGGCAAAACATCAGGAGAGAATGCTTCAAGAGCATGGCCATATAGCCCAAAAAACCTGCAAGAACCCCATCTAAAACTGCTTCCATTTTAAATTGTATTTTTATGTTATGCATGCCATGGCTCCCCTTCCTCATCCTGGAATTCCAGCTTGATTTTTCTCTCTCTTTGTTATCCTTTGATTCCTGAAATACTTGAACAAGGTGGCTGGCAACACCAGGTACACAAATCATTAGTAGTTTCAAGTCTCCAGGGTTTCTATGGCTGGAAATCTCTGAGGATGCTTGTCATAGGTGCAGGTGAAATGTCAGGAGAGAATGCTTCGAGAGCATGGCCATATAGCCCAAAAA